ATGGGGGGACATGGGGACATTGGGGCACATGGGGGACATTGGGGGACATGGGGGGACATTGGGGGATATGGCAGGACGGGGGACGTGGGGGGACATGGAGGCTGTGGAGGGATGCAGGACATGGGGGATGTGGGGATGAGGGGACACGGGGGACATGGGGGGACATGAAGGGACATTGGGGACATGAGGAGGGATGTTGGTGACATTGGTGACACAGGTGCTCACAGGCTCTCCTTGCTTGTGGGGACACGGGGGAGACACTGGGGTACATGGGGGGACATGGAGGGACGTTGGTGACATGGGGGGGACATTGGTGACATTGGGGACACGGGTGCTCACAGGCTCCCTCGCTCGCAGGTTACGCTCCTCTCCCTGGAGACAACTACCCCGCAGGTAACGGTGCCACTGCCCGTCCCTGTCCCTGTCCCCGTCCCGGTCCCTGTCCCCGTCCCTGTCCCCGTCACCCCCTCAGTGTCCCCTGTGTCCCCCCCAGGCAGCATCTGAGGGACGCGGGGACCGGCCGGTCCCCACAGGCCCCGCGGCGGCCACCAGCCGACAATAAAGACCCGCCGTGTCCCCGATAGTGTCGTGACATCGGGAGGGACACGGGCGACATGGGGGGGACACGGGTGACATCCCGGGGGGGCCCAAAGAGGAGCCCCTCCCCCCCCGCGTTGTCCCACTTTCGTTTCTCACAGCGGGGATCTGCCCGGCGCCCGGTGACGTCATGGGACGGCGCGCCTCGTCATTGGCGGACGGGCCGCAGTCCAGCCAATAGCGGCGCGAGGCGGGAGCGCAGCGGGGGCGGCGCCTCCTGAGGCGACTCGTGAGGCGGCCGCGATGGCGGTGGGTCCCGGACCGGGAGCGGCCTCAGGACCGGGACCGAATCGGGCGCTGCTCCTGCCGCTGCTGCTCCGAGATCCACACGGGGGGCGGGATGTGGGACAGCGGCGTGCTGGCCCCACGTTGTCCCCATAATGTCCCTTAGCCCGTGGTGTCCCCACGCGGGCTCGCGGCGGGGATCCACCCGGCAACCGGAGACGTCACGGCCAGCGCGCCGCACCATTGGCGGACGGCCGCCGCCACGGCCAATCAAGGCGGGAGGGGGGGTGGGCAGGGCGCGGCGCCCGCTTCGCGCTTTCGCTTTCGCTTCCCCGCAACGTCTCGCGCCTCGATCTGCCTGGCGCCCGGTGACGTCAGGCGAAACTGCGCGTCGCTATTGGCGGAGGGGGAGGGAGCCCAGCGCCCAGGATTCGGATCCCAATCCTGCCCCTGTTACGGATCTGAGGGAGAGGCTCCCTCGACGGCTGTGCACGCGGCTGGGTCAGGATTTGGGTGTTCGGTAGGAAAATGGGACAAAAAATAAGGATTTATCAAGTCCAGAGGGCGGGTGGGCTCGGGTAGGCGAGGCCGGGTCTCGAACTCGCGACGCGACGCGGGGCGGGGCCTGGGGGCGGGGGTAGCGGGCGGGGTCTGAGTAATGAGTTGGCTCCGGGCGGGCGGGGCCGGGCACAGAAGGGGCGTGGCCACGGCGGGCGCGTCCAGGGCCCAGGCAGAGCCCAGGCGGAGGGGGCGGAGCTTCATGTATACGGGGGCGTGGCCATAAGGAGGCGGTGTCTGGTAATGGGCGTGGCCTCGTGGCCCCGCCCCTTTTGGCGCGCCGCTTTCGCTTTCCGAGCAGCGGCGGCCGCGGGAGCGCGGGGCGATGGGGCCGGGACCGGCACCGGGACCGGGAGCGCAGGCGGCTCCGGTGGGCCCGGCCCGGCGGCTCCTGCACCTGCTGCGGCCCGAATGGCGCCGCTGCGCCGCCGTGGTGGCGCTGCTCGTGGTCTCCACGATCGGTACCGGGAGG